ATTGCTACAAGCACTTTGGAAAATTGCTAAAGCTGGAAGTTTGCACCCCTGAGATCCAGTAATTTCAGTCCTAGGAATATATCTGTCAGAAATGCATACCTGTGTCCACCATAATTTGTAATTATGTTAATAGCCCCAAATTGGAAACTCCCCAAATGTTCATCAACAGTGGAAGTGATAACTTGTGGGATACTGAAACAACAGAATGCTATGTAGCAATGAGAAGAACGCAGCAATGCGGATGAACTCCACAAAGTGTGGAGACAAAGCCAGACACAAAAGAGCACAGACTGCACGATTCACGCACAGGACTTCTCACATAGGTGAGATGAATCTATGTTGTCAGAAGCAGGATTAATGGTACACTTGCAGGGTAGATAGGCAGTGACAGGAAGAGAGGCTTCTGGGAGGCTGGCAGTGCTAGCTGCTGGTAAGTTTCTTTCATTAGTGACAATCTTTTTTTTTTGAGTTGGTATCTTACTGTGTCACCAGGCTGGAGGGCAGTGTCACCATCACGGCTCACTGCAGCCTCGACTTCATGAGCTCAGGTAATGATTCCGCCTCAGCCTCCTGAGTAGCTGCGACTACAGGCATGTGCCACCATCCCCAACTAATTTTTTGATTATTTGTAGAAACGAGGTCTCACTGTGTTGCCCAGGCTGGTCTTGAACTCCTGGATTCAAGCAATTCTCCTGCTTCAGCCTCCCAAAGTGCTGAGATTACAGGCGTAAACCAACGCATCTGGCCCACTAGTGAAAATTTTTAGAGCTGCGCCCTCAAGATTTGTGTCTTCTTCTGTGTATTAAACATCAATAAAAAGTTAAATTTGTTAATATTTGAAGAGAATTTCTCTTGGTAGCTTTGGGGAAGGAATGAACTCTTTTCACAAATTCTGTCCTCTGTAAAAATATTAAATCTCCACACTCTGTGTGCTTATTTCTCTCAGGGATAAAGGTTACCAAACAGTTCAATGTCTCTTGCCCCAGGAGTATTTAGTAACTCAGTTTTCCCAACGGCAATAGCTGTACTTTTAATCTTGTTCATTACCCTCTGAGGAAAGGGGGTGTGTATGTGGTGGGACACATATGCATAGATATATATCTTTTTTCCACCATACTGGGTGGACTGCAGAACAGGGTATTGTTGGGGAAGCTGAGAAGAGTTGAATAAAAGACCTTGAAGCCAGCAGTATGGTCATTACTGGAGAACTCATTCTCCTTTTTATTCTTTGATGGAAGTGGTCAAGTGAACCTACATTTAATGGTAGTAGAGTCCTCTGGTTATTTCACATCATTGTGACCAAAACCCCCCACAAGTAGCTTCACACAATAATGCTAGGGGAAAACCTGTAAGAACCACCCACTCCTCCTCTCTCCTTCCTTTCACAGTGTTCACTCAAGCACATACAAGGATTTGCAGTCAGAGGACCTGAGTCTGTTTCTGTGTTCTATCACATTCTTGGTGAGTGAACTGGGGGGAAAAAAAATCTCAACTTCTCTGAAAAAATGGAGATGAGAATTAGCAACTTGGTCAGAAGCCATATCAACCGCATATTTCACTTTTGTGCATTTGCTTACAGACAAAATGTAACTGTGCAGACCCACATCGCTTGGGACCATAGTTGTACAGGAGAGGGTGTGACCAGTGATTCTCCTTTTGATCCATGTGTGAGTCATTTTCTTTTAGAAATGTTCAGGTGGCCAAGCTCCCTCCTCCCACAACCCTGCAGGCAGAAAGAGTGTGATGCCAACAAATACATCTGCATTCAAAATTAAATGTGTGTTCTTGGTAAGCCTCTTACTTTATTTTGTAATGGATTATCTAAGCCAGTTTTTCAGATAACAAGCCAAGCCTGTCTCATGATCAGAGTCATTATTTTTCCCAAGGCTACAAACCAAAGAAGGGTGGTCAGCTCAATAACAGAAGCATATTTCTGAAAGACGTTGGAATTTTCAGTTAATGGCAAACCCTGCAGGAGTTACGGCGCATGGTAATACTCAAATGACATTTCACCTCTTTCCTACTTCTATTTCCATCTATCTGACTTAAGAGTTCCCTATATTTAGGCAACTATTTATAGCCCAACTCTTCTGAAACTCAGATAATGTAACATCATGATGATCACTTAAAGTGATATAAAAACAAAAAAATCTGGGAAATCCTCTTTTAATCCATATTCCAGAAAACAATGGAAGACTTTTGTCATTCCTGCCTTTTGAAAGACCTCACATTTTCTTCCAAAGGACAATACCCAGTGACTGGAAAAGGGTGCTGCTTAATAGCAAGATCGTTGTACCTTACTTTCTTCATTTATCTATAACTTGCTAAGGTGTTATGAATGAGATAATCTATCACAATATAGAGGGCCTAGCAGTTAGTAAATGATTAATGTTACTACTACCATTAGTTAAAATTACCTATGTGTTTAAGTTTTCTCTGACAGAAAATAAGCTCTATGATGCTGTAGTCTTACTTGTTTAGTACTTGTAAGTGCTGCTGAGTGTGTGTCTCAAATGTAGCATAAAAGCAAAGTCTTGGTAAGTATGGGATTTCTCAAAGAATTTAGGGTCAAGGAAATTCCCCTAAGGAACTGACATTACCTTAATTTTCAGCACTTGGGAAAACTTTGAAGCCTTCCCTGCATGACAAGTATAGTATGATATGTATAGTATGATATAAATACCAAGACAACTACAGAGGTATTTTAATCCAAGTTCGTTGAGACTTCATTTTCTGATACAGCACTGTGAGGGTTAAACAAGATCACATAGGATGATACACTTAATACTTCAAATTTATTTGGCAAATGATGGCTACTGAAGGCTTACAAAAAGTCAAGTTGACTAGGCATGGTGGCTCAAGCCTATAATCCCAGAACTTTGGGAGGCCAAGGTGAGGGGATTGCCTGAGCCCACGGGTTCGAGAACAGCCTGGGCAACTTGACGAGCCCTCATCTCTACAGTAAATAAAAAATTAGCCAGGCGTGGTAGGGCGCACCTGTAGTTCCAGCTACTTGGAAGGCTGAGGCAGAAGGATCACCTGAGCACAGCAGGCAATGCTGGGATGGCCGTGAGCGTGCCACTGCACTCCAACCTGGGCAACGAAGTGAGACTCCAACTCAGGGAAAAAAAAAAAAAAAGGCAAGCCACACCCCAACAACCCAACTATGCCAGAAAAAAGGAGGGTAGGAAAATACTAACAACTATACACCAGCATTATGCTCTACATGTCACATGGCTGTTATTAAGATTCCTTTAACAGCTACGCACAACCAAAAGCTGGTTCTTTGAAAGGATAAACAAGATTGACAGACCCCCTAGCTAGACCAAGAAAAAGAGAGCAAAAGCCCAAATACTACAATGCAAAAGATGAAGTAACAACTCTGTACAAAACTTATTTTTTTTAAAAAGTGTTTCTTGTCACAAAAGGAATGTCTATTCCTCTAAGAATGATTGGAAAATACAAATAAAAATCCTATTACACATAATAACATAAACCCTAAGAAGTTTTGATCAGTCTTGATTACAATGTGAGAGTTGAAACCAGAACCACTTTAAGAAACCAAAGTATAAGGGTAGTTTTGCTCAGAAAGAATTATCTATAAAAGTTAATGGAGGTTTGCATTGTTACCATAAAATGAGTTAAGTTTTCTGGTAGTTAAGCTTTATTTCATAAAGTTGAAATTCTGTTCAAATCTATTTACAAGAAATGGAAAATAACTTTCCAGTAATATTTACATTTTTGAATATTGAGGCTGTGAACATGGGATAGCCTTTTTAATGTTTTCCTGTGGAATGCCTTAGACTATGTTTGTCTTAGGAAGTTAAATTTGCTTATCCGCCATTGCCTTGCTAGACTCTGGTGTGGCCATGTGCTCCTTGAGCTATGGCTGTCGCCATGCTTCCTGGCTTTGGCCCCCTCCCCCACCTTGGGGAGGTGAATCTTCTCTCTCCCCTCTTTTTCGCTCTAATTTATTTAAAAAAAAATTTTTTTTTTCCTTTTGCTTACCATTCTTGTGATAATTTATTTACACCCCTCATCTGGTTATACTTATCTTAGTCAATATAAAAGATTGTTGATTTTCTTAAAATTAGGAACATACTACATTCCCCCTTGAAATAGTTATTTTGTGGTAATACAGTTAGGCGACTCAGACAAGCCACCATGCACTTAAACAGCCACCCTCCATTCAATTAATGAATTTGTGTCGGGCACTGTTGGATACAACAATGCACAAAACAGACAAGTTTCCAGCATCATGATGCTTATTTTCTAGTCTGGGAGACAGAAAAGAAAAAAATAAGTAAATACACAGATCACCTCAAACAGTGATAAGTGTTTGAGGAAAAGTCTACAAGGCCACGGGGAGAGGAGGACAGGCCTGCCTGTGCTGGGGCGGTCAAGGCCAGCCTCTCTTGAGCTCTAGCACCGCAGAGACTAACACAGCAGCGTCGTGCTGAGTGTCGGGTTTCTTTTTCCGTGGGGTCAGGCTGTCCCGCTTCCAGACCTCTGTGTACCCTGACATCTCAAGAACGCAGACAACCTGAATTTCATCGTATTACAAGGCGAGAATCTGAGGTTCAGCTATTAGTAGGGCATGCAACTGATCCCGAGGTGTGGACTTGCCTTTACGGTACTGGCCACACTCGGGTGTCAAAAGGAGAACGAAGTGGTGGCGAAGGCTCTTCCCTGATGTTTTTCCTGGGCTCATCCAGGAAGGTTCCGGGGAGAGGGGCGTCCGCCCTTCCCACCTGGCCTCTCATTTTCACCACCACGGTCCAGGCCTCGAGCCCAGAACAAAGACGCAGGCAGGGCCCCCAAATCTCTCGCTCCTCCCAGGGCTTTCCTGGCTGCCAAGATGCGATCGGCGACGATTCCCAAGTCAAGCGCGAACATACAGGTGCGAAACCAGACCGGGGACTCCAACCTTCCCCTGCAGCCACGCCCCCCACGTGGCTCTAGGGGCGGGGCAGCCTCGCCATTGGTGCTCAATGCGCATCACTTCCGTTGCCTCGGAGGCAGGCGTCGCTAAAGGACGTTACCACTTCCGGGTCGCCGAGGCCGCCGGCGGCGGCGCCGGCTCCGTGTTTGCTGGTGTCCGGTCTATGGAGTCAGCTGGTGCCGGGGGCGGCGAGGAGGCGAGAGGCGGTTTTCGAGTAGGGGCCTCTGCCCCGCCAGCATGTTACCGGGCTTGGCCGCCGCCGCTGCGGCCCACAGATGTAGCTGGTCCTCCCTGCGCCGGCTCCGTCTGCGTTGCAGGGCGGCGGCCCGCGGCTCCAGCGACCGCCAGGGTGAGTGTCCCGCGCCGGCCGCTGGCCCCGTGGCAGTCGCACCGGAGGGGGCCGGGCTGGGCTCGGCTCTCGCCCTTCCCGGGTCCCAGAGCCTTCCTTTCGGGCCTACGCCCGAGGGGCTCCTGCCGGGTCTCCCCGACTCGGTCTCTCCTGCAGCCCTGGCACCGCCCCCCGGGAGCCTGCGGGCCGGCACCCCCGGAGCCGACCGCAGTGACCCTAGGCGGTGGCCAGCGCGGGCTCTGCAGAGCTCCAGGCTCTTTTGAGCTCACCGACTCCCCCACCCCCCCTCCCCGATTGAGCACTTTTGGTCGAGATTTTCTTCCCTGGTCTTTTTCTCGTGCCCCCAAACGTGTTTTCGTAAATTTCCTAAAAGGAAGGAGGTGTGCTGCACAGCCTATGTGGATCTTTAAGAAGTCTGAGGTTATCCCACAGAAATGGAATGAGCCCAGTTTGGGACCGAAAAACAAAAGGACTCTTCAATTCCTTGGAACTTCAGGGTTTTCTTTTGGTGAAAAAGTGTCAACTAACTGTAACTGTAACCCAGATTCAAGGTGGTTGCCGAGGATTTTCATCCCTCTCCGTCAACGTTCTTTTCTGACTTTAATTGCTCGAGAGTTTCCAAAACAGCATTGAACTTGCGAGTCTTAATCAGGCTTACCTTCGTTGTTGCCATAGCTTGACGCTGAGAACTGATAACCCTGAGAAAGAAGACAGAACTAAATCCATCCTTAACCTCATGCTCCAGATTCTTGGGGATACAAGGGTATTTACAGAAATACTTCTCAAAAGTTCATGTTTGAAGTTGGGCGTGGTGGCGCGAGCCTATAGTCCCAGCAACTTGGGAGACTGAGGCTGGAGGATTGCTTGAACCCAAAAGTTGAAGGCTGCAATGAGCTCTGATTGCTCCACTGTGCTCCAACCTGGCAACAGAGTGAGACCTTGTTTCTTAAGTTGGAAAAAAAAATTATATTTGAAAAAACTTGTAGCGTGGTTGTGATCTCCTAATAGAAGTCAGAAGATATTATTAAAGATTTTATGAAGTATGAGCTATAGTAACTGTTGTGAAAATAAATTAGAATATATTCATGTCTTTTATTTGCAATAAATGTGAAAACTGGCTTTTAAAATTTCAATCACTGGCCTCCGCCCTGCAGCGTAGATGGATTATTTCTAATTCATATACCATTACTGTCTGAATTTACATCATTCCAAGTTCTGTTTCTGGTTGCGCCTGACGTGCGTGAATTTACGTCTTTGCAAATTCTGCTTCTGAATGACTGGTTTATAATCCAAATAAAAATACAAACTATGGAATACTAGAATGGTGTCTGAGGCAAATACTGGATATGTCTGCAACTTTCAGCTGTATTGTGAAAAAGGTGACAATTTAGAAAAGACCATTTAACTTGTGCTTCACAACAGAATTTTGCTGCAACCAGCTTCAGATTTTTTTTATTTTCACTCGCTCTCAGTGTTAGGAAGGTGAAAAATGTGCTGATCGCGAATGTGTTAACAGCACTTTTCCCAGGGCTTTTTGGTAGTGATAGAAAAGTTATATCCTTGGAGTTTTCTCATATTGGCAGTTTACCTACTTAGTTCTCTTATGAACAAAGTGATCATCTATACTGTTATACTGTACTCCAGAATCCCAAAGTTAAGTTTCTAACATAATTGTTTCTATTGACCAAGCAATTTTGACATTTTACAACTGAAATTACAGTGGCTGTTAAATTGAGTTTAAACTGCACTTTAAGTGTTAGTAAGAAGGAGTTGAAATGGTGTAATTTGCAATCCATGTTCTCTGAGGCTGTGCCATCATGTTGAAAATTATATGCTCTTTGTCTCAACTGTCTGTGAAACGCAGATAATAATTACCTAACTCACAAGTCAGAATGACTTTGCAAAGTGTCTATTACTACAAAAAATTGAAATGCATTTTCACACTTAAAAATACTAGTAGGTTTTAAAAAAACCTTGTTTGTGAAAATATCATCTCGATAATACTGAACCATTTTTTTGAAAGGGTAATTTTAATTATGAAAACATTTAAAAATAATTTAGAAAAAGAGTACTATTTAAGTTGGATGCATCTGTGAAGAAAAGACTATTTGAAGATCCTTTTGGGGCAAGAAAATCCAAAAACAAATGTTTTTCTTTGTCAAGGAATAAAGTTTATGCTTTTAAAATGCCTGTGTGGCTGGGAAAAGCTTGTACAGAATAAGGAGAGGAGGGATCCTTGAGGGATTGCTTGGATACTTAAAACTGAAAAACACCTGTAAAGACAAAAAAGAAATATGAGCACCACGTATGTAATTTGGAGTTGTCTAGTAGCCATATTTTAAAAGCAAAAGCAGATGAATTAATTTTAATAGTATATTGTAACATTAATTTTAATAGGATATTTAAAAATTATTTCACCAAGCATATTAAAAAATTTCAACATGTAATCACTATCAAAGTTATTGAGATATTTTACGTTCTCTTTTTATATTAAGTCTTCAAAATCCAGTGAGTATTTCACGCTTACAGCACATCTTAGTTTAGACTAACCACATTTCACTTGCTCGTTAGATAGTGACTACTCTGTTGGATAGTATAGTTATTATACATAGTATCCTTAATTTATAAAGATTTTTACAAACCAGTGTACATTTCAGTAGATAAAATAGAAAAAGAAATTAGTAAGGAGCTCATTAAGAAATTCAGGTGGCCAACAAAAAGGCAAAAATGTTCCACACTCCCTAAAAAGCATAGACATGTAACTCTGAAGGATTTTACTACTTACTACCCATTTCATATTGGCTGAGTTTTTCATAATGATGTTATCCCAATTGAGGGTATCGGAAAACAGGAACTCACTAATGATTGGTAACATAAAAAGTTTATGCCCTCTGATTTAATTTCACTCAGAGGAATTTGCTTTAAAGTAAATAATCAGATACATATTAAAATGTGTGCAGAAGCTCATAATAAATTTGTAGTTTACAGTTACTGAGAGTTGGAAATAAATACATTGGTACATTTATTATGAGTTAGTGATATGTGCAACCATTTTTAAAATTATAGTTTAGAAAAATAGTGACATGGGAATATTCTTGATGTGTTATTAGGTAAAACTAGGAAAACTACAGTAAGACTATGTATTGTGATATTAACAGTGGGTTTCTCTAAAAAAATTTTGTTTTTTCAAAAGTAAACATATTCCTAAATAATAAAAATGTTGCTTAATTTCTATAGTAAGTATATCCTTTTTAAAATAGATTTCTTCAGCTTTGCATAGAAAACATCTGATAAAAATTTGGGATGGGAAGACACTTCTTTTAGGTACTACATACCAAATGAACAGATACGTGCGTTTTCTTAAATTTGAGATTAGTGAAAGTATAATTTTGTGTGTGTGTGTGTTGGAGTCTCTCGCCCAACCTAGAGTGCAGTGGCACACTCACAGCCACCCCAACGTTGACCTGCAGGGCTCTGGCTATCCTTCTGCCTCAGCCTTCCAAGTAGCCGGAACTACAGGGCCTGTGCTACCAGGCCTGGTTAATTTTTAATTTATTGTAGAGACGAGATCTCGCCAAGTTGCCCGGGCTGGTCTTGAACCCGTGGACTCAGGCAGTCCCCTCGCCTCAGTCTCCCAAAGTGCTGGGATTACAGGCTGAGCCACTGAGCCCTCCCAAAAGTGTAATTTTTCAGGAAAAAATAGAAACTAACCCTCTGAATAGTATTCCTGAGTGGGGAGCATTCAGCAGATAGGTGCCAGGCGTTGTAGTTGCCAGTAGTGTGGTGCTGAAGGAGTTAAGAGCATATACCTGAAGTGCTGGGAAAGAAACGAGCAGGATGATGGACTGGAAAGTGCCAACAGGGGCCACTTGGTTAGTGGTGTTGACTGGGACCCCCGGCTTTGCCCAGTGTGATGACTGAGCGCGGGCATGAAAGATGAAGGTGAGTGAGTCAGGCAAGATCTGGGGAAAGAGCCGTGCAGAGAGCAGTACCAGCAGAGTACCAGGATGGGGGCACCCGATGAGCTGAGTATTGGGGAGCAGACGGAACCTACTGCCGCTGGGCAAGGTCGGGGGGGATGAAGGGAAGCTGGAGTGTCTCAGGCTACAGGCTGTAACAGAAAGCAGTGTCTTGAAAACACCACTGTGGCTACTGTGAGGAGAACGCACTGGAAAGGGGAGGGTGTTCTAGTTCTCTCGCGTGCCTTTGGGCTATGTTGGTCAGCGGTGGAGAAGAATGAAAATAGATGGAGTTGAGATGTTTGGGAACATGACATGTAGTTATACAGGTAAAGCATTTAGCACTTGGCACATTCTTAGTACGTTAGATTGTGTTACTGTTGTTTTTACTTTTTCTTTTTCTTTTTTTTTTTTTTTGAGTTGGAGTCTCACTCTGTCGCCCAGACTGGAGCGCAGTGGCCGCTCCCGGCCACCACAGCCTCGACCTGGGCTCCGGCGATCCTTCCGCCTCAGCCTTCCAAGTACCTGGAACTACAGGCGTGCCCTACCACGTCCGGCTAATTTTTTGATTTCTTGTAGAGATGAGGTCTCGCCAAGTTGCCCAGGCGGGTCTCGAACCCACAGGCTCAGGCAATCCACTCACCTCAGCCTCCCAAAGCGTGGGGTTACAGGCTGAGCCCCCGAGCCCGGCTTATTTTTAATTATTTTTAAACCCTTCCATTCTAGGAGCCAGTCATATTTTTAATAGTTGAAATCATATTGTATTAGTCTCCTGCTTTTTATTCATGCAACTTGATAACATGAGTGTTTTTTGTTTTTAGAAGTTTTTAATGAATACACAAAAATATGAGGACCTTCCAAAACTTAGTCATTCTTATATTGGGGGATGAGCGTTCAAGTTTTTTTATGGTTACATGTGATAAATACTACCATGAGGAATAGTCTTTGCATTCTTTGTTATTATGTATTTTAAATTCACACTTAGTAGCCTCTTTAACAATAAGTGTAATCTTTAAAAATAAGTGTAATAATTATTTAGTTTTCGTATGTCAGTGCTTTAGAAATTTTGGGAAACTACTGAGATAGTATTTTAAGTAAGAAGACTAACATCTGGAGGTCTTAGGCTATAAGCTTGATTTACTCTGGTCCTAAAATTAGCCAGAAACGAACTCATTGCAAGAAATATTTTGCTTCAGCCTTCCAAGTAGTTGGAACTACAGGCACATGCCCCCCAAAAAGAAATATTTTGTTTTTAGTTGTTGCAGAAGCAACATATACAGTAGACTGAATTGTCAGGTTGCAAAAGAAGTTCTTTTTGTTGTTCATAGTCTAAAAAAGGTCACCAGATTTTCTCTGAAAGCCAGAGTCAGTAGTAGGTGACAAACCAGATTGGAGAGAGGACACGAGGTGATCAGTGGCAGTGGTCTTAGGAGTCACAGAAGCGACAACAGTAAAGTAAAAGCAGAGAAGTGTGGTTGTTGTGACTAGACTATTGATAAGATACCAGTGGCTCAGCAGTCTTGATGAGTAAACAGCCCTTGCATATACAATGATACAAAAGTCCTTGTCCAGGTGGTAGAATAGTAAGTGCCAAACTGATCTTCCATATAGGAGGCTTGTTTAGAAGTCACCTTGAAGAATGAGTATTCATGGTGGATAATATTTTTTACTATTTCTCTACTTAATAGAATTAATGAACTCAGTAATTTTTAAACCGGTGGTTGTGCTTCTACAACTGTGTTAGGTATTATATTTGTTTTATTGAGTCAAATGTGGGCCACTGTAGTTTTTAGAATATAATATGTTAAAGATAGTGATGTACGTGCAATGTTCAATATTGTATTAATGCCAAATTTACTTTTAAAGTTGCTGATATCTGAAATTCTAGTGATGTTAAAAATTAAGGACTTTTCAAAGCAGCTGGCAAGAAAGCCACCAGAGATTACTAGAATGGTGTCAAAAGGATTTAGGAGTCAATCTGAAGAGACCTCTACTGGCCCAAAATAGAACAGTTGGAGTTAATCAGGATTATGGCTAAAATAGATTGAAATGTGTCAAATAATGTTTATATCTATGAAATTGTAATGATGCATGCACAGATTAAAAATGTGTCACCACTGCAGGATGGCAGGTAATGAACTTATTATTTTGAGAATTAATAAATAAAGGGAAAGAAGCATTTAGCCTGACTTTCCTATAGGAACTGCACTGCTGGGTAACCAAATACATGAGGAGAATTCTGTTGGTAGAAGTATTCTGGCTAATAAAGGAAGGAATAATAAGATTAGAATATCACCATTTTGTAACTACCTAATAAGGCTTAAAAGACATCTCAGTCAATCGCAGAATGTGGTCCTTATTTGGATCTGTTCACATAGAAACTGGAAAAAAATTACAACATTTATAATAACTGGAAATTTGAAATTGAGAATGTCTGATGATATTAAGAATTTTGTTTTACTTCTAGTAACCATGTTGTAGCTGTGTTAAAGGTCTTGTCTCTTAGAAATATTTACTGAAATACATATATTAATGAAGTTATTTTATATTTGAGATTTCCTTCAAATGAATATGGATCTGGGGAGATACTGGTGCAGGTAGAGATGAGACAAGATCATGAGTTGGTAATTGTTGAAAGTAGGTAGTGGGTGTATGGAAGTTTATTGTACTATTTTTTTCTTTGTATATGTTTGAGATTTTAAGTAATAAAATGTTTTAAAAACAAAGAACAAGGAAGCACCAAGTCATGGAATCAAGTTGTCTTCTAAGGAAGGACTTTTGCACCCCAAAATCTTCCAGAATAATCCCTTTTTAAACACCTTAGCACACACAGACTCTTAAGGTTTTATTCCATTGGCTGGGCACGGTGGCTCAAGCCTTGTAATCCCAGCACTCTAGGAGGCTGAGGTGAGGGGATTGCATGAGTCCATGGGTTCGAGAACAGCCTGGACAACTGGTGAAACCTCACCTCTACAGCAAATCAAAAAATTAGCCAGGCGTGGTAGCGCTCACCTGTAGTTCCAGCTATTTGGCAGGCTGAGGCGGAAGAATCGCCGGAGCCCAGCAGATTGATGGTGGGGTGGCTGGGAGCATGCCACTGCACTCCAGCCTGGGCAATGGAGTGAGACTCCGACTCAAAAAAAAAAGTATTTCATCAGTGCCTGGGGAAAAAAAAAATGTTGGTGGCATTTATGTTTGTTAGGAAATAATTACAAAAGACTTTTTGAGTAGGGCTGAACAATCAGAACAGCAGTGGCCATGGTGAAAAAGATGCTATTGTGGACTGTCAGTTTCCAGAAGAATCCGCTTGAGCCCTTGTTTCACTAATTTTGCTAGTAGGCTGCATATTTTAATATGCAGGAAACTTCTATTGTTATATTTGCCTTTTTCAGCCTTTAAGAAACAGACATAAATGACCCAAAATCGTTGAGGCCTTCAACAGTTTACTACATAAATGAAGAATGAGTTGACATGAGTAAGTTTTTCACGAAAATAAAGTTTGAATCCTGAACCTGGAGGAAAGGTTTATGTTCCTTTGTGTCCATCATGCTCTTCAGAGTATCTTCCACACTCACAATAACTTATGTTCCTGATGACTTCTTGGAGCCATTTAGAAAAGATTTTTCTTTGTGTTTAATGTATATATGTACACACGCAGTACGTGAATTAACTTTTTTGAAAGATCATTATTAAGTAGTTAGAAAAGTTTCAACTCTTAAATGCTCAACCCTCTATTCTTGGAAAAACTTGACTATCTGTAATGATATAATTTTATTACTTCGCCTAAGACTTTAGAAAATATATGGGTTGGGCATGGTGGCTCACTCCTATAATCCCAGCACTTTGGGAGGCCAAGGTGAGAAGATTGCCTGAGCCCACAGGCTCGAGACCAACCTGGGCAACTTGACGAGACCTCATCTCTATAGTAAATCAAGAAAAATTAGCCGGGTGTGAGGGCACATGCCTGTAGTTCCAGCTTCTTGGAAGGATTGCCTGAGCCCAGCAGGTCGAGGCTGCGGTGGCCGTGAGCGTGCCACTGTACTCTAGCCTAGGTGATAGAGACTTCAACTAGAAAAAAAAAAAATATATATATATATGAATTACATCTATATAGAGTTTTTGAGTTTTTTCAAAAAGAGAAACTCTCAGTACTCATAGTAAAAAATAGAAAGAAGGTCAGGAAAATAGAAACAGATTTACTACTTGGGTGCAGTTGTGGAATATATTTTCCTTCTGTGTTTGAGCCCTTCAAAACTCCCAGTCAGCCCAGATGAAGCAGCTGAAGTGCTTTGTAATTAGTCTTCTATTCTTCACTCAATTAAAATTCCCACATATGAAGGAATCGCACCAATGTTGATCTAATTATCTGATTAATAAAATCAGTGACAGTATGAATGACTGATGAATATAATTCACTTATTGATTGTGAAATGAAAAAGGAATACATCTTCAGCAAACGGAAGAAGGACACAGGAACATTTTGAGTAGGAAGCCCTCCTGACCTTTCCCAGAGTCCTCTATTCTGAAAAGGAATTATGCCAACATTTTCTTTTTAGCATGCAACCAGCATAAAAAATAAAGAGTATCTATTAAGTACTAGATACCTTTCACAATAGCTGAATGATTTATTTGATGTTTAATGTTTTTCAAGTTTTCATATAAATTTACAAATTAGAAAAAAATGGAATATTTTCTTATTTTTTGTTTATAGACTATAGTCCTGTATACTTAGGGGGTTAGTCAAACACCTCTGTTGGATAAGGTAACTTGACATCTGGGAGTTGGTTTGAAATTAGTTTTTCTTTTCTTTTAGAATGGCAGAATTTAGTGACATTTGGAAGCTTTTCGAACATGGCTCCTCATGGTTACCCATACATTTGTACACTGAGTCAAGTGAAGTTGTACTCTACAAATGTTCAGAAAGAAGGGCAGGGCTCACAAACTCTCAGAGTGGAAAAAGTACCGTCATTTGAAACAGGTATGTGCAGATTTTTTAAATCTCTTTTTTTCTATGTACTTCAGTAGTTTGCATTAATGTTTGTTTCTTGAATGTTTAATAGGATTTATTTGTAAAACTTCCTGGACTGATGTTTTCTTTGTGGGAACTATTAAACTGCTGTCTTAATGTCTTTAACTTTTCTGTTTTGACTCAGTTTTGGTAAATTCTGTTTTTCTTAGGAATTTATCCATTTAAACTGCATTTTTAATTTACTGACATAAAGTTTATAATAATATTCTCTGTTTACTTTCTTTTTTTTTTTTTTTTTGAGTTGGAGTCTCACTCTGTCACCCAGACTAGATTGCAGTGGCACGCTCCCGACCACTGCAGCCTCAACCTGTTGGGCTCTGGCAATCCTTCCGCCTCAGCCTTCCAAGTAGACGCAACTACAGGCACGCCCTACCACGCCCAGCTAATTTTTGATTTTATTGTAGAGAAGAGGTCTCGCCAAGTTGCCCAGGCGGGTCTCGAACCCATGGGCTCAGGCAGTCCACTCACCTCAGCCTCCCAAAGTGCTGGGATTACAGGCTGAACCAGCGAACCTGGCTTGTTTACTTTTTTTTTTTTTTTTTTTTTTTTGAGTTGGAGTCTCACTCTGTCGCCCAGACTGGAGTGCAGTGGCACGCTCCTGGCCACCGCAGCCTCAACCTGCTGGGCTCCGGCGATCCTTATGCCTCAGCCTTCCAGGTAGCTGGAACTACAGGTGTGCGCTACCATGCTTGGCTAGTTTTTGATTTATTGTAGAGACAAGATCTTGCCAAGTTGCCCAGGCGGGTCTCGAACCCATGGGCTCAGGCAATCCACTTGCCTCGGCCTCCCAAAGTGCTGGGATTACGGGCTGAGCCACCAAGCCCGGCCTACTTTCAATAGCATATGTAGTTAAGTCCTTTTTTCATTCCTAATAATGTTTGTCTTATTTTCTTGATTAATCTTGCCAGAGCTTTGTCTTTTACTCTTTTTCCAAGTATTAATGTTTTTTCACTTTGACTGATTGTTGTATGTTTGTTCCTATTTTGTTTTTTACTTTTTAATTACTGCCTCCTTTCTGCTTTTGTTGTGCTTGTTCTGTTATTCTTTTATTAACTGTCAGATATTTTGCTTATTAATATTGAGCCTTCTTTTCTTTTTGAAGTAGACATTTAAGCCATTATAATACATCCCACAATTTTGATATGTGGTGAGTTATTTCACAGTTATAAGTGTATTATTTCCACTATGGTTCTTCTTTGACTTTTTAGCTGATCACTTAGTCAGTTTTTCTAAATGGCCCTTGTGTGGTTGAGAATAGTGTGTATTTTTGATTGTTGGGCGCAGTGTTTATACACATTAATTCCAGTTTTTAGTTCTATACAAGTCTGTATCCTGTTTTTAAAATTATTTCCAAGAGGGATTTTGGCATATGACACTTTGATGGTAGATTCAATGATCTTTCCCTACAGTTCTGTAAATTTTTACTTTTTATAATTTGAGGCTGATATACACATTTAAAATTGTGACATAACACTGGTGAATTATACTTCCTATCATTATGTAGCAACTCTTTTTCTTTAGTGACACCTCCTCCAGATTTCGTTTAGTTATATTTGCCTGATAAAAATTTTCCTATCCTTTGACTTTAATTTTTTTTGTCCTAATGTAATAACTTTGTTTTTTAACTGGAAGTATAGGCTGTTTACATTTATTGTAATCACTGATATATTTGGACATATTTTTACCATTTTATCATGTTTCCTTTTCTGTTTTTAAATTCCTTTTTTACCTTTAAAATTCTTTTCTTTTTTCTCATTCCATTATCCTCTCTCATTCCTTCGCTCTCCCTCATTCATTCCCTCTCTCTCTCTTTCTCTCTCTCTCTCTCTCTCTCTCTCTCTCTCTCTCTCTCTCTCATTTGTAGGCTTTACTCTGTCCTTCAAAGCCTAAAGGTAATTGACCAGTTTACTCTCCTGAAAAATGCAAAGACCTTAGAGTGCTTTAACTCTGCTCACCCTGCCCCGGCTTACCTTCTATTTGTTGGCTAATGTTTTTTTTTTTTTGTCTATTTTGCTCTTTCTATAAAGTATACATTGTTGTTTGTTTAGATTATCCAGAATCTTTGTGAACCACCTTTTCTTATGTCTCTGATCTTTCTGTCTGATGTGCATCCTGTGGAAGTTCCTTTAAGTGAGGATCTTTCATGGGAAAGGCACATCTAAGATGTTATTCCTGTGTATTCTGGCTTTCACTATTGCTGTGAAGAAGTCACATATCATGCCTTTGTTGACGTATCTTTCTCTATTTGACCACATTTTTTATTTTGAAAGTCTTTTTCTTTTGTGTAAATAGCGGTTTTATTATGAAGTAACTAGGTATGTATTTCTTTGTATTTATTCTGCTTGAGATTTTTTTGGGCTTCCTGGATTTGAGGAGGGAAATTTTCTACAATTCTGGAACTCTACAGTTCTCTGTTATTATCTCTTCATATATTATATCTTCCTATTTCTCTGTTCTCTTCATCTGGAATTTCAATTAGAAATATGTTAGGTCTTCTTACTTTGTTTTCTGTATCTCTAAACCTTTCTATCTTATTTTCTGTTTTCTATTTCTTTATTTTTCTTGCCTGCATTCTGGATTATTTCCTCAGGTCTACCTAATTCACCAGTTTATTATTTTGTTACCTCTAATATACTGATTGATAATATATGTTGGATTTTTAAAAATTTAAATGATTATATTTTTCATTTCTAGAAATTGTTTTTCACCTTGTTTGGTTGGTCTCTTATTTCTTGGTTATGTTTTCAGACTTTCCTTTTATTACTTTAGGCACATTAAACATAAAATATAGCTATTTTATATTTTAACTGAAAATTCTGCTCTATGTAATTTTTTTGGTTCTCACTGTATTATCATTTTCTTCCCTTTCTTGCTCTTATTTGTGATGCCATATAGGTGTTGTTCATTTTCCATGCGGTTTTTGTATCTTGAAACTATTTGATATTTATCTAGAAGGAAGATGCCTTTCTGCCTAGAGGGGTTTGCTTTGCTTCTGTAGGCTGTTGGGGGACACGGCTGGGACCACCTTGTCAATTCAGACTGTACACTTGTGTGAGGGTTTGTGGTAGGACCCTTTATGGAGAGATGGGACACTGAAGCTTCTTTGCCAGGAAGCAGCTTTTTTTGTGCTGGCACTGGCCCAGCAGATTCACATCCAAAGTCTGAGCCCTGAGTGCAGCAGGGTGTTGCCTTATATACTTTTCACTAACTTTTCTTTACACTTTAGCCCCTTTGTCTCCCTTATATGGCAACATACATTTTGATTGGGTATTTTCTGGCACAGGATTGTAACAGGGTTACGCGTGCTCACTTAGACATTGACTATGCCACCTTACTTTCTAATCTGGGAAGGCCCTTACTACATTCCTCCCTGTGATGCTCTAGGGTCAAAGAACACCACCTTTGTTTAGGGATTGGCACTTCCATAACATCATTACATGTGCTGCCGTTTTCCTTTTGGCCATGACCTCAATGAGGCTGGTGGCAGAACTTATAACCAGGGAAGCCAGACAGGGCAGGATTAGACAAATTCCCAAAATCATAAGTAGATCACCTGTGAGGGTTTTGAATCCCCTGAAAGTTGAGAACCATCTCCCAAACAGTTTCCTGGGATTCCAGACTTTCCAGGTCTGGACTGGGACACGAGCAACTTTTTTCATTTAGTCGGTGATTTCTTCTATGACCTTTTGCTCATCATCTATTTGTAAGCAGCAGTTGCTTAAGTTAAATTTTTGCAAACTCCTCCTTCAGAAGCAAGCAAGTAAAGGCTAAGCGGTTTGGATAGATAGCATTGCTCATCGTGGTTTGCAGTTTGCCTAGTATGTTAAGGGCCTTTGCAATTTCATTAGTTATAATTTCAACAACCACCTGTAACTGAATTACATGGTTTAGTATGTAAATGGAGGTTTAATAGCCCCAGGATCAATCCTTTGCCCAGGTGACCGGGCCATAGTATTGGATAATATGCTCAGGGGGCCACTCATCATCTTTCCAGTTGCCAATCTTTAAGGCACGCTGTTTCCTTTTAGTTTTCCAGTCCTCGTATACTTGAACTACAACTGTTCCCCTCTGGCAAGAGGCAGCAGGAAGAAGGATGGACGGATAGACCCTAACACACAAGATCCTGCCCAGTTTGAGGGAAGTACGTTATAGGCTATCTTCCCACATATCCAGTAGAGTCCACTCGGGGCCAGCCATTTGATTTCTGCGTCGACATTATCCCAGGCCTGGCAGAGAAGGGGGAAGCTAGACAAAGGGTTAGGGTCTGGTTCAGAGTGGTTTGGAGACCCCCACCATTGGGTTTTCTGGCCTGTTGTGTTATAGAATTTTTGGCCCAGGTATATCAGGCTTCCAACAGAAGTGTTACATTTTTTTCCCATCGGGCAAAGCAGTTTTCCCCTATAATTGAGATCTTAAGAAGCCAGACTCCAGTGGCAGGGCTGGGGTACTCTGTTTCATTATAGGGTTTGTGGGGATTCAGTTCCCTAGCTTCCCAAGGCCATTGTTCTCCCATGTTAGTTCCTCCACAGAAATAGCAAGAAGAGACTTTTAAGGTTTGGGCAATAGTTTCTGTGAGGGCTAAGAACGGGTTTCTTGTTGTGGATGAGATGGGAGGAGGGCTACGTTTTATTTCTTTGTAGAAGGAGTGAAAGGCCTCATGGGATGTGGGTCAGAGTGAGACTGTGACCCTTCCAATGTATATTGGGGCCCAAGGGTCTGTTCCCCATCCATGGATAACTATACCAAATTGGCAGCCTGTCTTACATTCCATGTCCTCTGGGTTGAAAATGGTAAGATTAACAGGGTTATAGGCCCCCGACTGACAGTTTGATACAGCAGTTCCCCTGGTGCAGGAATGCTGTTGTGTCTCTTCCCAGGTGGCCTGGTTTACTACTCGTAGGTCCTGAACTAGCCGGTAGTCATCTGTTCCCAGTTTCTGGACTGGCAGG